TCCCGGAGTTCCAAGTTTTCTCAATTATTTCATTGCAAAGATCCATCTAAGCATTGCAAGGCTTCACCTTGTGTTCTCTACTTATCTTTCCTTTCGTTTGATCATTCTTTTGTTACCGGAATTCTTCATGGAGGCTCTACATGATGGTTCACCAAGGATTTAATTCCTTCTCGAAGTGTTCATCGAGATTCTTTTCAGGGGAGCTCAAGTATTATTTATCTTGCATTTTAAAGTGCAATTCTTTCTACCGTATCATTTGAGGTGGTGTTATGTCATTCTTGATGATTTCCCTATGTGGTTCATGATTCACATGTTGTCAAGATTGAGATATCTTAAATCCATCAATCTCGTCATTGGAGTTATCTTGGGTTATATTTCACCTAAAGCTTTCCCTAAGGATTTTGCTATTTATGGTGCTTATAATGACCCAAGTTCTTCATTTATCCTCCCGGTGAGATAAGTTTCTCGTCTCCTTGTTCATACCAATCCAATTCATTTTCCCGTGAGTGGCAGGTTGTCACCTCATAAATTTGAGATGTATTCCATAAGACCATATCAAGCGTATTCTTTTCGTTGTTGGTGTTCCAACAACTCCGTTCGACCCTTCTCCTAAAGATGCCTTTTCAAACTCTTTTGTGGCAGAAGTTGGCATTTTCTTTTCCATTCTTTTATTTTAATCATCTATCTTCTATTTCTCTCTCCCGGAGGCATTGTGTTGCTGCTCTCTTCAGACCTTCTTCTTGTCCTTGTCATGCTTATCCTTTTAACCAGAGTGTTGTGCCCCTTTGCTCAAGCTCTTTCATTTTATCAAGTCTTTCATCTCTTTTCAACCGAAGTGCTGTCCGAATTTGTAATTCCTTGTTACTCTTCCCTACCGGAGTGCTTTCAACTTCGCTCTTTCTCGTTGCTTTCTTTCTTTCAAATTGGTCAACCTCTCAAGGTTCGTGGTTTCACTCATTTGTCAAAGAAGCAACTTAGTTTTACCTCTCCTCTTCCTCTTCCGTTTTCCCTCCGGTGCCATCCTAGATCTTGGGACGAGATCCTCTCGTAGTGGTGGAGTGTTGTAACGCCCCAAGACCGGAGCTTCAGATACCTTCCTTGGGTTCCGAGTTTCGTTGGTGTTTTGTTTGGTTCGTTGCATTCATCATTGCATCATGTGCATTGCATCATGTCATCATGCAACCCGTTTTAAAAACTCAACTAAATTAAATGGCATGGATCTCTGATTCCATTTAAATCGAGGGAAGAGTGACTTTTCTTTATAACATATCCTCCCGATAGTAGGGAGCTATATTCAATATTTCTTTAATTTTAAATTCACCATAACACACTTGCAAAAATCCTAATGCCTTTGTTATCACAACCCTTGGCCTCGAACTTAGTCCGTAGATTCTTTTGTCATTTTCCGGAGCTCCACCAAAAATCGGAACATTTTTGGACACTTCTATAACCAAGCCCTAGTTCAAACCCTTTTGAATTAAATTCAAACGAGTTTGAATTACATCTTTCAATCTTGCCTCTCCTATTTTTCGTGGACCGTGCACATTTTTACGAGTCCGTGAAAATTATTCCCATGCCCAGATTCCACCCCTACATTCTCTTTCTTTTCTCCCTCTTTTTCTGTTTTGTTTTAATATGGAAAAGAGTAAGAGAGGAATGAGAGAGAGGAGTTCAGCTTAGTCCAGCCGGCCCAGTCCCTAGGCCCAACTCCTGCGGCCTGACCTAGCCGGCCCAAGAGGCCTGCCCGATCTCCTCGTTCCCCCTGCCCGCTAGCCTTTTCCTCGATCCCCTCCTCCCTGTCTCCCTTCTCGCGCCGCCAGAGAGAGAGAGGGACCGACAGCGCCAGGGTGCCCGATCCCGCATCTCCCGATTTCTCGCTCTCTCCTTCCTCGCGCTTGCCTCCCCTTGCGCCGCTCTCTCCCCTCCATCCTCCTTCCGCCGCCACGCACACACACAGAGAGGAGCGAGGGCTCCTCACGCCCACTCCTCGCGTGCCGCGCCCTCAAGCTCCCTGATCCGCCGCCCCTGCTATGGTCGCCGCTCCGGTCAAGTTCCTCGCCCGATCCGGCGACCTCCGCCTTGAACCCGCCGTCTCCGTCCCGTTTCGTGCCTTCTCCGTCCACGCCCTCCTCCACCAGCAGCATCGCCGCCTCCGTCCGGTTCCTCTCATGCCGTCGCCCTGTTTTCCCCTGCTTCGAACGAGGAGGCGCGCTGCCGCGTGTTGAACCCTCCTCTGCCTCGCACGGAGTCCAGCTCCAGCAACGCCCGTGGACCGTGAACCGCGCCAAGACCAGCGTCAAACCTCTGCTTCGTCCTGTACCGCGCCCAGTACCACGACCATCGCGTTCCGTTTCTTCACTGCCAAGGCCGAGAGAACGCCAAGTACCAGGATGACAACGACCCGTCAAGTTCATCTACGCGCGTGTACCATTACGTCGGAGACCTTGGATACACCAAGTTCCACTACCACAAGTCGGACTCCGAACGATCGACGTCTCATGGACCGTGTACAACTACCATCGCCCGAAGACATTGGAGTCATCGAGTACCTCTCCGAAAACGAACGTGCACGACTACCGTCGCAAAACGAGACCGTCAAGACCCGACCGATAAGTACCCCGACGACCCTGAACATATACGGGCATGTACAACTACCGTCTCCGAAGAACCGTGTAACGGGACCGCCAAGTTCGTCTTCCGTCGTCTCCGAGATCGTCAAGTACCACTATGAGATGTGCAACTACTTCCACGACGAAACGAGAACAACTACCGCCGTTGAAGGCCGTCAAGTGAACATCTACCGATGACGTGTACGACCTACTCCGTGAACATGTACCACTACGCTGCCCTAACGTCTACGGAACATGTACCACGACCATCGTTGAAGACCCCGTGGACGTCAAGTTCCATGTCGTGACCCCGAACATCTACGGACATGAACCACTACTTCCCTCGGCGTCCCCTACATCTACTTCCCCTACATCGCATCGAACTCGAACCCCTCCGATAACGCACGCTTCGAAGGTATAACCTCGAGGCGATGTCCGTGAACGTATGTTTGCGATGTTTGAGATGCTCGTATTTTGCACCCTGTTCAAATTGTCACTCGTTTCCTTGTCGCATTTGGGGTTCTTCTTTTATTTTGGTTCCGTAGTCGGGCCTTGATTATATCTGGTTGATGTAATGCTTTATTCATGTAATTATGTGAAGTGGCGATTGTAAGCCAACTATGTATCTTTTTCCCTTATGTATTATATGGGTTGTGTGAAGATTATCTCACTTGTGATATTGCTTTCAATGCGGTTGTGCCTCTAAGTCGTGCTTCGACACGTAGGAGATATAGCCGCATCGAGGGCGTTACATCTGGCGTCAAATAGGAGTTTTTTCTTTTTTCGTAGATTCATTTATTTAAAACATTTTATCTCTTAACCAATGTTCCCAAATCCCGAACCATTTTCACTGTTGAATTTCTTGCGTTGAGATCTTGGAAACTAAATCCCATATTAATAAGTTCTGATGAACTTTTTCACAGAAAAAAATGAGTCGGAAGCATGACCCCCCCTTCCTTGTAGAAGCAAATATGTGCCTCTCGTGGGAAAAAGATAATGATAGTTTTTTTCCTTTTCATGAAGCACCACTGTGCCTCTTGCGGAAGCAAACCTGTGCCTTCATGAGAAGCAAATCTCTGTCTCTCACGGAAGAAAAAAACGTGTATTTTCCTTTTTCGAGAGGCACAACCGTTCCTCTTGTGAAAACAAACCCGTGCCTCCACGAGAAACAAATCTATGCCTCTCCTGAAAGAAAAAAAATACATTTTTTTCTCTTTTTGAGAGGCACAACTACATCTCTCGCGAAAAAATGCATTTTTCTGCGTGTTTTTTTTTATTTTTTGTCCAAAACCTAAGCAAAATCGGACAAAAACTGAAAAGCCACCCCCCCAAAAAAAATCTAGCTAAAACCCGAAAACGCGTACAAAAATAAATAGAAAAACATAATCTCGAGGAAGCGCCCAACACGCGACACAAGGCGGGGGCTGACGCGCTCCCAGCCCACCAAAAATGACCACTGAGAGGCTTCCGCAAGGGGTACCCCTCATTTTGTTTCTCTCATCTGCTGATTAGTGGAGATAAGGTCCCATGCTGCTATTATACATGAAGTTTTAGAACGTAAAGCTAGTTTTTCAGTTTTGTAGTTTCATTCATAAACGCAGAAACTTTAATTTTGAGGCTGCTAATCTCGCTAAATTTGCTTGTAACCTGTGTTATAGGTAGACATATGTGGTTGGGCAATCCTCATGACGTTGTACCTGTGGACATCACTTTGATGAAACAATAAAGGTTGGTGAGATTTCTCAAAAAAAAAAATCTTCCGAGTTTAAAACAAACATAACGAAAATCTGCCATTTTTTTAAGTTTAAAATAAACTTTCAAGAATTACCATGGTATATTTTGGTCTGTTGGCGTGAAGCAGGCCTAGAACTAACCAACCAGCCCAAACGGGCTACATTTTGGTCTGTACCAGTACGGTTGTACGAAAAGGGTCCCACTCTGTAGCGGAAAAAAACGACGACGCAATCCAATCCTCCTCTCCCCATTCCAGGCCGCAGTCCCCGCTCACCGCCCACCGGAGAGCTCGTTGCGGCGCGGCGCGGCGGAGCGGAGCCCTACTCCTCTTCCCGTCCTTTCTTTCCTCTCCCTCCCGAGTCCTCCCGGCCTACCCGACGCGGCTCTGAATCTCTTCTGTAGCATATACCACAGGCTACAGCTGACGCCTCGATCCCGTCCCCGCCCTCACACGACCCGCCGTCACCGTTCTTCCTCGCCGGACGTCGCGTTCCTGCTGTATCCACGCCGTCCGCAGTCTTTGGCCATTGGGTTTTGAGGTATGAGGTTTTACCCTCCACTCCGGCGATTTGATTAATCCTACTGACCTTCACAATTTCCGGGTGCCCTGGTGCGCACCAGGCACACCATCTAGATCTGCCGCCTGGCTGTCGACCTATGAGCTGTACGTAGTACGGCTTTGCTTTGCCCGTGGCATGATTTTCTGCTTGTTGGGTAGTAGTACATTTTAATATCACCAGGATTCATGTTAAAAGAGTATAGGGAATACAAGGGTAGAATGCTGTACTTTAGCCTGCATTGGTGTTCAAGTATGATCTCGTAACGATTGTCTGTTGTCTTTACTTAGCTTTTGGGGTAGTTCTGTGGCAGGTTTGGAATTCCTATAAAGTTGATTTCAGGTGGGGTTCATAGGTTTCACCTGATCTCCATCATAATCCTCTCCGAACATCGGGAATTTTGCTCTACCTGGAAATCATTTTTTCTTCTGTCCAAAATCCTTTCACATGGACTCAGTTCATCGTTTGGGAAACTGTGGACAACATACATGCTTAGTTTTGTTCGTAGCATTAGTGGATTGTGCCGGCCTATTCCTTCTATAGCAAGACTCTGACTTCTGGTGAATCATCTTTAGCACTGACTACATGTTATGCAAAACGGAGAAATTTATTCTTTTGAATTAGATTAGTTCAACTGATACTGTTCTATTGTTGCAGTGTTGTAGATATTTGACATTCTTCTTCCTAACTCAGTATGTAATCATTCCTATTTTTAACCTCCAGATTTGGCTCCAGTTAATTCTAGAATTCAAGAAGTTAGAAACATGAGCTACTGCCAAGCTACAACGTACAAGCCTCTTGGCGGGCTCACTTTGGACAGACCATTAGGTCTTGGGAGAACTTGCAAAATACTTCCTGAACATTTTGTATGGCAACATTTTTCTAGATCTTGCAAGCTGCAAGAGAAAGTATATCCAAGGCTTGTTGTTGCTGCTTGCCATAAGAGGCTTGGTCCTGTATATGCCTCAAGCGGGAAGGGAAACCTTGATGTAAGTATCATTCACAGCTTTCTTACTTTGTGATTGGTTTTCTATTGGAAACTTGGCAAATTTGTCAAGTTTGACTTGGTTTGGCACAATGGAATTTTCTTATTGATGTTGTAGGAATGCTTTAGTTTCAGGAATTCCTCTTTGGGAGATAGGGATACTGTGTAAAATGGGGTGTGGTAGGCAGTTGATATGCTACGCACCAAGCATATTTAATACATCAAGGTTGTTAGGCACAATTGCTGATGTGGAACCATCTGCTAAATTTACTGTTGCTTTCTTTTCAGCCATTCTCTATGGAATCTTTGAACAAAGCAATGGATGGAGCAAAAAAGCAACAGTCCATACAAGGCTTCCTGATGGAGCAAATGGCTAAGATTACAGGACAGGGGTCTGGTGGAAATGGAGGAAATAATAACCGTTATGGAGGCAGCGGTGGTGGTTCTGATGGCCCGGATGACGAATCTTTCACGGATTCATTGTATGAAGTGGTCCAAGTTGTGTTAGCAACTGTTGCTTTTGTACTCACGGTAATTGCATTGCTTCTTTCTTCCTTCTCATCGTCCTTTGATCTGAAATGCTATATTTTACAACTATAGTTCTGTACGGACCTTTCAATCTCTTATAATGCCTAAACATACTACATTAAGCTAGCATTTTGTTTATTTTCAGTGCAAACCTTTTGATGTTTATTCACAGCCGTAGTTGATGGTACAAATATGTGATGGCTATTATATGTTTATTATTTTGAACAGCCCTTTCTCCTTGTGGACTTGCCAGCTCAGAAGGGATAATATGTATACTTGAAGTACATAATAGTGATATTACCATTCTCCATTAGTGAGAAAACATCCGTGTAGTTCCCGCTTTTGCCAAAGAAGATTTTATTATTTCTTCGTGGCAGCTGTTTTCTATTTCTCGTAAATATTAATCTATGTGGAGTTGTTGACTACCTTACAAGTAAAAAGATAAATTTACCCTTCTTACTAGGGAAGGTTACTATTATGAATAGTAATTGATTGGTGTACCATTACTAACATTTGCTCTGTTTTCTGGTGATCATCTTCATTAGTAGTGCTGTTCTAAATATACTCCCTCCGTCCGGTAAAGAGTGTACATCTAGAAGTTTTAGGACAAATTATGGAGTTGAGTAAAAAATGCATTGGAAAGGTGCAAACCACCATCTCTCTCCTTTTTAATTACCCAACCCCCAATGAGCTAAGTGCATGTAGAAATTAAGAAGACTATGTGTAGATTGCTATTGGTCTTGATTACCGTGTGGTGAGAGAGAAGTATTTTTTTCCTACTTTAAAGTACATTGGGAAGATAGAAGTACACTCTTTGGTGGACAAAATTTGAAACTAGATGTACACTCTTCACCGGACGGAGGGAGTATATGGTAAATTAGACTTGCATCTGCCAAAAACAAGACTTCCACACAATTTTCTTCCCACCACAACACACCGAACACGAGTGTGTTTATATTCTTGTTGGCTGTGAACGTTAAGGACCCCCCACATTATCTTTCTAAACAGCGTTTGCTTTGTTATGCAGTATATCCACATCATCAGAGGAGAGGAGTTGTACCGCCTTGCTAGGGACTACACCAGATACCTCGTCACTGGCAAGAGAACGTCCCGGCTGAAGCGTGCCATGCTTAACTGGCGTGATTTCTCAGATAGCATCACAAAGAATTTCAGCACACAAGACGATGTGTATCAAAGCCCGGTCGCTTCTGAAGCCATGTGGTGGCAACAGCCCCAGAAGCTGGTTCATCATCTCGGTGACCTTTTCAGAGGCAACCTGCGTCCACATGCCCAGGAATCTTAAACCCTAGCATTCCACGGTTGCCTTCGAATTTCCACCTCAGAAACTTCTGTTTCTGACCATCTAGTTTATGCTAGTGCTAAGTAAATCGACGCAACTAGACGATCAGCTGTTGATTCTGGCGGATGGCGATTCTCGCCTAGTGTACTGAAATTCATTCATATGATGTGATGCTGTCTCTGGTCTGTACGTATTGACTACAGAACAGGAGGGGCAGGAGTTAATTCTTGTCAGCTTTGAAGGTCATCATGTAACGTAACATCATTGCTATGATCGTCTGCTCGTCAATGGGGTGCTGCAGCAGCTGGCAGCTTGAATGCTGAATCTGATGGATCAGACCTGCAAAGGTCCAGGTACTGTCAGTTAGTCAATGCGGCAAAGAAGTGTACTGCCATCTATAAAGAATATTGTGGTGTTTTCAGTGTGATTTGCTCTCCCATGGGCCATGGTAGTTCATTTTGTCTAGCCTATTTGAGTTAACTGCAGAGACTTGCAAGATGACCTTTCCATTTGTTGATGTCTTTATGTATGCACTATATTAGACTGTTGTTTGGCTCTATTCATTTTGCAGGCGCCATGAACAAGTCAGATGAACCATGGAGTACTCCATAAACTAAATAAGATTATACATTCTTGATGGGCCATTTAGGCGGGTCTGAAGGGTGTTCTTGTTTTTGGAAAGGAGGATAACCCTGAGTGGCCACAGCATCGATCGACACACTGCCATTTGTCTGAACGGTGGTCTCGTTAGGAGAAAAGTTGACCAACCCGGTTGTTCACGTCATTCAACTAGTACTGAAGCTAATAAACTGGAGGCAGAAACCAACAAACTTCACTTGTGTCATTCAAACTGCCCACGAATGTACTCCCTTCGTTCCAAATTACTCGTCGCAGAAATAGATATATCTAGAACTAAAATACATCTAGATACATCCATATCTGTGACAAGTACTTCCTCCGTTCCAAATTACTTGTCTTATATTTGTCTAGATACGAAGGTATCTAACACTAAAATGAGTTTAGATACATCCGTATTTAGACAAATCTAAGATAAATAATTCGGAACGAAGGGAGTAATTCGGAAGAGAGGGAGTAGCAGACAAAGGCTCTTAACACCGCGATTTCCGGAGCAATGATGCGGCCGAAAGCCAAGACGACGACCAGACGGATTAGCTGATAGAGCTAAGCACATGGCTGCGAGTTCCAAACCAGTCAAACAAATCGCCCCATTCGCGTACTAGCTCTTTTGCGACCCATGATTGCCTAGACTGCCATCTGAGAAATGCTTCGTTCAGTTTGTTTGTATGGCCGATAATTGGTCTTTGATCAATACTCCCTCTTCCTTTGTAAAAAAATATAAGAACGTTTAGATCATTAAAATAATAATTTAAATGTTTTTTTAGAAAAGAAGGAGAACCCCGGTTTCTGCATCTGGACGATACATGCAGCCACTTTATTAATTGTTCACATGAGACCGTACAAAGTCATACAAAAGTGAGACTAAAGCTACCGTCTAGGCAACATCTATCGCTACTCCTAACCAGTTGATGAAAGGGCGCTGATAGTCTGGGCTTAATACCAGACAGACATCGCATCCAAACCTAACATTTAAGACTGAGGTCCCAACCAGGACGCCTGCCGGGTATGGGGCACCCACCAGTCCGGCGCACTCCTCAACCAGGACGCCTATCGGGTATGGGGCACCCACCAGTCCGGCGCACTCCTCAACCAGGACGCCTGCCGAGTATGAGGCCGCCGCAGCCACCTGCCACCAATCTATCTTCAGTGTTGGTACTGCTGCATCAACCTTGCCCAGTCTCGCTACCGTTGACGCCACCATGGTGCCAGACGGCTCCACCGTCCCGCGCTTGTCCATCCAGCCGCATCCATCGTCGATATGGAGTTGCACCATGCCGCCAAAACTCGTCGTCATCTATGCGATGGATACAACGCCGCACCACCTGGCATCCTCCACACCGTCGCCACTGCTGGAGGTACTCGGAGCTCACCAACCACAACACCTCTCCCCGAACAGCTGGTCCTCCCAAGACGGCGGCTCCATGAAGGATACGACGCGTAGGACGTCGCCGCCGCCCAATCCAGACTGAATTTTGGACTTTCGCCCGAGAGGTGTTCAGAGGTGGATAGGAGAGACCTCGGCTTCGCCTCCACGTAGGGTACCGGCATCGAGTGACGTCGCCGATGCCGGGCCGGCCTAGCCGACCAAAGTTTCCTCCGATCCCCATCCTATGCCACCAAACCTCCATCTGCTCCGGATCCGGCAACGAGCCACGATGCAAAACCTGCGAAGATGCAAGAGCCATGGTGCTCGACCCGCCGGAAAGAAGGATCGAGAAGAAGCCATTGCAAATCTCCAGACGCCGGAACCAGCGGTCCAACGTGGCCAGTGACGACCATCACCACCCCGCGGCGGCTGACAGAGTCCGAAGACAAGATCCAGATGGATTCGATCTGGATCCGGCGGCACCCGCAACTGGGCAGGCCCAACGCAGCCACCACCTCGCGACACGCAGGCCGCCACCGCCGCGCCGTGCACGCCGCCGCCGGGAGATCTACCCGCCGCGCTGCCGAAACCCACGTTTGCCTGGCCGTCCTCTCGACCCCGTTGTCCCGCGCCAGCCAAGACGAAAAGGATGGGTAGAAACCAAGACGAAAATGATCTTATATTTCTTTATAAAGAGTATCTTGTAGTACCATTTCCTTCATTTCAGGCAGCTGATCTGGAACTAGTTTATCAGGGTCCCGGAAACACTTGTTCACTCCAGAGGACCGTTTCAGGTAAGACCGCGCGCGCCGATTCAGCGAGTAAACAACTCCTTCAGATTGTGTCATGCCTGGTCGAACACATTTAGCTGATTGGTTCATGCACGCATGATAATAAACAAGCTAACAGAAGTAACGTAGCCGCAGAGGCTTTGTTATGATGCACGTAATAACCCGGTCAATGAAAGACACGCCCAAATGAAGGATAAAAAGAGGCCCAAAACAAGGAGGGGATCAGAAAGAGCAGATGAAAAACCATTATCTCGCCGTCGCCCACGTAAAAGAAGCCCCCATCGGCGGTGGAAGCGCGTGGACCCCGTCCCTCCGCCCGGCCGGTCCCGCGCGCGAAACCGTCGCCTCGTGTGGACTTGTGCATGGGGAGAAACGATTCCCGTCGCCGTCGCCGTCGCCGTGGAGGCGGCGGACGGCGACAGCCACGACAGCGGCCGCCGACCACGACCCTCAGAATTCCCGCGCCATGGCTCGCCCGCACCCCGCAGCTGAGCGGTACGTTACTGGTGAAAGCACCATCGTCCGTAGCAGTAGATGATGACGGGGAAGCTAGCTAGCTAGCTAGCTGTAAGTTGGCATGAGATCGAAAGCGGAGCAGTGTGGATGTCGCGGTTGCCGGCGCTGTTCGATCATGTGCGGTGAACCGCACCCACCGCGCAAGATCATGAGAGACGTGACTCGTGAGGCGTTTGGTCCAAATATTGCAGCGTAGACGTGATGCTGTCAGTAGGCAAGCAGTCTAACAGATAGCATCGCTGTAGTCAAACGAGGGCAAAAATCAGCCCAACCAGACACGTTGTATGGGACTAGATTTGCCTGTCTAGTGACCCGAATCAAGCATTTACCAGTGATTGTGTTTGTTATGTCTTTCACCGTGGGTGTTTTGAGATTGGTCGAGCCAATGATGTATGCGTGGAGTGGATAGATTAGGACCTGATCGAAACGAAAGAAAAGGTCGCGGGTGACGGTGAATCAAGATCCCATCAGTCTCGTCAAAATAAGAGTGCTGCAGGCCAGTTTAGAGACGGCTTCTAGATGTTTGAATTGAAGCGGGAAAAGATGACCCAATAATTGAGGACCGCATATAAATGTCGAAAGTCTAGAAAGTCAGGCTCTAAAGCCTTTTTTTTTTCCAGATGTTTGTACCCAGACATGTTTATGCTTCCGTAGCCTATATGCTCTGTATGTTGGGTCATGAATTCTTACTATGTATGACACTTCGGAGCCTTCCGAATAAATACTTTAAGTCGTAGAGTTTTGTTGTAATGCCATGTTGTATTTGCACATATCGAGCATATTGTGTGTATGATTTGAAATGCTTGGTATGTGTGGGATCCGACAATCTAGTTGTTTATTTTTAGTAGGCTCTCTTATGGGGAAATGTCTCCTAGTGCTTCCACTAAGCCATGGTAGCTCGCTACTGCTTCGGAACACTTGGGATGATCGGCATGTGTCATTTGCTCCGGTGTCTGTCTCTTTGGGGAAATGTCACGCATTGTTCTTTTAAGTCTTTGTAGCTTGCTGCGACTTGAGTTCATACGTTGATGACCGACACAATGTCATTTGAATAATCACATATGAAGCTTGAATTTGAACCTAGGGTTCAAACCAACCCCGTTTAAATTGTTGCTATTTGCATTAGCCCAAATCATAGCATATTGCCATGACATGATCATGCATCATATTATTGCATTGCATTGATTGTGTTTCTTCTCTGTTGCCGGTGTTTGTCCCCTCTCTGTAGACGTTGTCGACGATGTGATCGATGACACTGATGAAGACACAGTGCTATCTTCAGAAGTGCCAAGCAAGCAAATCCCCCTTGAGCATTCCGATACAATCCCACTCTCTTGCTCTTGCTCTTTTTTACTGCATTAAGACAACAACGATTCAACTGTTACATGCTGCGGTAGTTGAACCCCTTTTCCTCTACACGACATGTCTTTGCCACAGTAAATAGTTGAAACCCACTAGCATGAGTAGGAGTTGTTTGAGCCATGATGTGCCTACTCATCCATGCTTGCCATGAACAGTAAAATCCAGAAAATTCAAAGTTGCCGTGGTGTTTGTACCTAAGTTATCATGTCCGGGAGCGTATATTATCATGTTATTTACACGAGAAGTTATCGGTGGTATGTTTTGAACAATTTTTTCACGTCAAAGTTATCGTGGTGTTTGTACCTAAGTTATCAGGATCGGGAAACTAT